TAATTAATAATATTGTTCTATGTAATAATTATTTCAAAAGTATTGTTACTGTTCTTTAGATTTGCATGTTCCCACAATTTTCCCCCATAATAGACTAATGCTATTGGATTTATTTCCCATGATCAAGGAGAAAATTAAATTCTAAGACTATAATTTTTAATTTCTTCATTATTAATTTTACTTTATAACAAGCAAGTCCTTATGATTCTATTTTCATTTCTTTTTCAGGTAAAGTAATAGCTTTTAAGCCTAATTTTTAGTTTTTGTTAATTCATTGGTTATATAGAAAGCTGAGAAAGGTAATTGATACTGGATTGATGCTTGTATGTTTTATTTTTTATCTTTTGATCTCATTTCATAATGGTAAAAGCAAAAATACAGTCACCAAAGCTTTGATTATTATATTATGGCTAAATCAAAAACCACACAGCCTTGTTTTTGTGGAAAGACTTATTATATACCTATCTTTTTTTTTTTTTTTTGAGACAGAGCCTCAAGCTGTCCCCCTGGGTAGAGTGCCGTGGCATTACAGCTCACAGCAACCTCCAACTCCTGGGCTCAAGCGAGTCTCCTGCCTCCGCCTCCCAAGTAGCTGGGACCACAGGTGCCCACCACAACGCCCAGCTATTTTTTGGTTGCAGCCGTCATTGTTGTTTGGCGGGTCCGGGCTGGGGATTCGAACCCACCACCTTAGGTGTACATGGCTGGCATCTTAGCTGGTTGAGCTATAGGCGCCGAGCCACCTATCTTATTTTTAAATTATCCACATCATCTGAGAAAGAGTTGTAACTATTAGAACACTGATTTTTTTTCCTCTTCAGTTGTTTTCCTTTTATTCTTCACCTCTAAGAAAATGGAAAGTGTTTTTGTAATGTTTGTAATGTTATTTTTCTTATATATATCATGATTAATGCATTAAATTAGACTTTTCCTTTTTAAAAATAATCAAAACTGCCTTCCTCAAAATATTATTCCAACTTTTCTCTTGGAGTTGTTTTCATAGCCAGTTACTCTTACAAGGAAATTTATTTCAGGATCACTAATTCCTTAACCCCACATGATTTATTCTTTTTGGTTGTTTGTTTTACTCCCCTTTGGTTTCATACTGCCCTGATTTCCTATATTCTGGTTGGCTATAACCCAGTCAGTGGTCCTGTATCACACAATAGAAAGTGTGTGAGCTAGATGTAGAAATGTCCATGTCCAAAGTATAACTAATTGACCAATAAAGTGACCAGTAAAGGCCATAAGTGAGAATGGAAGGTGCCTTCCATTAATATTTCAAGGTACTTCATGCAGGTTTGAAGTATTAGCTAAGGAAAAATAAAATTGCTAAAACACCTCTTCATTCTCTATCAGAGACATATTATCTAGTGGAAAGCTCATGACCCTGAGATCCAGAAGACTCCGGTCCTAGTTCCAGCTCTACCAGTAATTAGCAATGGGACCTAGGGCAAGTCACCTCATCTGTACCTCAGTGGGACCCAGCATTCCTTAGTTATAAATAATAGCTGTTGCTTCCTATGCTTTAATAGTAAGATTTTAACTCTGTTAATGCTCATTAACAACCCCCTAAGTTTGATGTGTTATTTTCTGCATTTTATAGATGAGGAAACAGTATTAGAAAAGTTAAGTGACTTGCATAAAATCATTCAGCTAGGCTCAGCACGTGTACAGAGTGGTTACTGCGACAGCCACGTGCACCGAAGCTGGAAGGTTCCAGCCTGGCCCAGGCCAGCTAAACAACGACA